AAAAATTTTTTTATAAAAAATATATAATAAAAATTTTTATATTTAAATAAATTTCAATATCTAATAACTTAATTAAATAAGACAGAACTAAAATTTTATTTTAAAAAAATAATTTATTAATATTTATCTGAGATATAAATCTTTTTATATCAACTTATAATAAAAAATATAAAAAGATAAGTTATTATAATTTTATTTTAATTTTTAATAATTTAAGTAATTATTTATATTAATTTTTCTTTATATAAATTATTTTCTAAATAATACTATAAATTTTATTTTTCTTAATAGTATTATATATTTTATTTTCAGTTTATAATTATAATATTTTTAAATTTAATTTAAAATTTTTAAATTTTATAAATATAAATATTATATAAACTTATTATAAATAATAATTTTAATTTAATAATAATATAAATAATATTAATTTTTAAATTAATTCAAAAATATTTATATAATTAAATTATTAATAATTTTTTATTTAAATTATTTAAAAGTTAATTTTAATTATTAATTTTATTTAATATTTTATAAATTTCTAAAGTTATATTTATTTTTTCATATAAAATATTTTTTTAACTTGAAAATTATTATAATATTCTTAAATTATTTTTTAAATAATTATTATTATAATAATTATAAAAATTCAAAATTTTTAAATTTATATATCAATTATATAATAAAAATAAATAAAACTTTGTAAAATTTTTAAATATATAATTTTTAATATAAATAATAAAATTATTTAAAATATTGATATATTATTAAAAATTTTATTAAATTATAAAAAATTTAAAAATAATTATAAATATAGTTAACTTTATATATTTATTAATTATTTAATAAAAAATATCAGAATTATATCAAAATAAATAAATATATTCTTTATAATATAATAAATAATTTTATTTATAATAAAATAATAATATAAATTTAAATTTAACTTATTTTTTTATAATAAATTTTATTAAGAAAATTATAATAAATAATTAATAATAATTTTGTAAAATATTTTAAACTTATTTACAAATTATAAAGAAGATATATTTAAATAATTATGTAATTTTAATAATTTTTTATTATTTTATATACTATATTAAAATTTTAAATATTTATAATAATCATTATATAAACTTTTATATTATTATCAATCTATTATTTTATTTAATCTTATAATCTTAATTATATCATTATAATTTTTTTTATCTTAATCTTTAATAATCTTTTTTCTTTATTATTTTTTATTATAATCTTTAATAATCTTCTCTTATTAATCTTTATCAAATTATTAATTTTTATCTCTAATTATTAATTCTTATCTTTATTTAATATAATATTAATTATTTTATTTATTATATTATTAATTATTTTAAATATATATTTTATCTTTTTAAATTTTAATTAATATTTTAAATTATATATAATAAATAGAATTGATATTTAAATCAGTTTAAATATGTTTATTTAATATTTATATAATTAAATTACTAATAAATTTTTATTTAAACTGTTTAAAATTGTTCAAAATCAATTCTGATAATGAAGTACTAATTTAGATAGTATCATACTAGTTAGATTATTATTATACTTAATATATTATCAATTTATTTAATATAATACTTAATATTTTATTAATTAAATTATATAAATTAATAGCAGATCAGATTATATTTTACATAAATATAACTTAAATTAATATAAAAAAATTTCTATAATTAACAAATCAAGTTTATTAATTAGAGAATTAAGACTTGAAATTAATTGAATATGTATTTAAAAAAAAATAATAAAGAAATGAATATTATAATCATGAATTAGATACGAAATTTTTCTTTACAGTGATAACCTTCAAAATTTGAAAAATAATATAAAAGATTTAGTATATACTTAAGATGTGCCAAATGTTTGCCAGACAGACATTAATGCATATCTCCCAAAATGATAAGTTAGCGATATTTATATTACGAAACGCGTGTATTAAATAAGTCACGTGAAAGCAGACATCATAATAATTTTCGTGTCATAGACGTGAATTCATTCTTTACATGCATAAAATAGAGACACTGAAGAATCGCTCTTAACATGAATTCTTTACCACCAGACCAAGATCGAACAACAACGCCCAAAAAGAATAATGCACCATTATCACGACTTTCGCCTTACAACAAATACACGCCAAGACGCGCAAGGATGGCTTTGATACGTGATAAACAAATTTCGCGCATGGCATCTCGCAAGGCAAAAGGCAAAAGCAAAGAAACCACTGAGCAGGAGGAGAAAGAAGAGGAACACGCAAGTGACTCGGAACTCATAGTGGAAGAGAAAGTAAAAATACCGTCTCCTATGAAGAGACAACTCGCGAAGAAAAAGTCTCCAAAGAAAATACTTCATGTTGTTCCGCATAATCAACACGGTGTATTAATGCCAAGAATTGGACCTAATGGTGGTCGAAGTTACAAGAGTCCCAGACGTCATGTTATTACTAGAATTGATCCAAAGTACAGTATGACATCACAGCAATTAAGTGATTATTTACAATATCAAATTGCCGTACAAAGTATTAAGAAAAGGGAACAAAAAAATGCTAAACGAGGAAGCTTGGTCACTAGGGAGCAACAAATTGAAACAGTTCGTACAAAACTTCAAATATACTGTATATTTTATTTATTTCATTTCGCGTTGTTAATAATATTTTTATTTTGTTAATAAGAATTCATTATCTTTAAATGCTTATAGAACAGATATTCACCTTATCTACCTGTTGAAAAAACCATTAATAAAAAACCCGAAAGTCAAGATGATTTCTGGACGAATGATAATGGTGGGCCTGGTGAGAAGACTATCACCAAAGAACCCGAGAATCAAGATGATTTCTGGACAAGCGATAGCGGTGTGACTAGTAAGAAAACCAGCACGATAACGCCCGAGAGTCAAGATGATTTCTGGATGAATGATAGTGGTGGTTCTAGTAAGAAGACCAATAACACAACACCTGAAAATCAAGATGATTTCTGGATGAGCGATAATGGGCCTAGCCCAATCAGAAATCAATCATTCTTTCAAAAGCTGACTGCTAGTAATGACAATGATGATGAAGAGAGAGTAATTAACTAACTATTGCTATTCTACTCGTAAATGTGGTTTCTCTATTCTTTTTCTTTTGTATTTTCTATTAATTAATCATTCTATCATTTATTTTCAATTAGGAATAATCTCGATAAAAATCATAATTGACCAACAACAGCATCAATATCATCATAGCTTATCTATTATTATAAAGTGAGTTATACAAAGAACAAGTGATCCTATAAGTAAATTGTGTATATATACATCTTTGTAATTTTTATTATGGTTAGTAATTTCTTTTGTATTTAAATTTGTGCAGAAATAAATATAATGCAAAAAAATAATTCGAGAACTGGATTGATCTCACAAAGCTTCGTTCTATCCTGATCTATTTGAGAAACAACATAGTATTACCTTTTATTATACTTGATACCATATTGCACATTTTAATCTATTATTATTTACAATATTTATAAATAGACACATTTAACGGCCATCATTCCTTTTATAGATTTAAAATCCCAACTTATGGCTCGATTGATTCGATTCGAGTTGCAGATTCAATTAATACTACCAAGAGAAAAGAACCGCCAAAAAAAAGCGTGTACTTTTAATGACTTTCAATATAAATCAAATACAAAAATAGGGTCTATGCTAGTTGATTTAAATTAAAAGGGGTGAATCAATTACAGAGAATCCACTTGCTACACCACCTTCGTTTGTTTCTCTAGTTTTAGTTCTCAACAAGTGCCCAGCAATTTCATTCACAAGGACATCGTTTTCGAAATCATTACTTGTTCCTATGCACACCCCAAAAATACCCAGCTCCGAAACCATTTCCCCTTCAATAAGCTCACCCTGTCTTAGAAGAAAATTACGAGACAAGGGCGGCTGAATAAGGTCCATCAATATATAGGTAGAGCGTTTGGATAACGAAAGTTCAGAAATAAATTTAGGAATATCGGTGGAATAAACGTTGTTTCCTTTTAAATACAGCCGAGTTTTATTAAAAAGTAGATGAGAACTTTATTATCTTCTGTGCGCATAAAAATATATACACTCACCACCTCCCTCACGTTGCGGTTTCATAACATACTGTTCAGGGTGTTTTAAGGCTAGTTTTACAGCCGCTTCACCTTCGGGAGAAGCGTCAAGAGGATAGAGTCCTGCAAAACAAGAACGCAGGTTTTGCAAATCTGATTTATTGGTTATGTACCTATGTTGAATCAGTTTTAGTAAAATTAGCGCAAAGTAGCATCGAATAGGGATTTCAATTAGGAATTCATTACCGTTCAAGAACGCTTGGATTTGCCAATATTTGTTGAACCTTCTTTGAGCCCACGAGCTGATATGTCACAGTAGGACATTTAATAGATCTAGAGCGTTCAATTAATAATCTAGTATCCCATTCCTGTATAGAAATCAAATTAAGACTTGACGATTCTAGAAAATTCCCAATAAAAGCTCTCGTTTTGGACTTTACCTTTTGGGTGGGAAAGTCTGCCGGACTGTAAGCTGAACGAAAATATGAAACCGAAATTTCTTTACCATCACTGCCAATCAAAAAAGTGAATCAAGTAGTGCACTATAAGAAAAATTCTATAAGCAAAACCCGCATACATATATAAAGCTTTGGTTTCTGGATCTAATCTTCCTTCTTGTCCAATTTCTGCCATAGTTTTGCGAATCATTCGGATATTATGACTAAAAATTTATGGATTAGAATGGAATCGAGCATCAAAAGGATGAATAATTGTATTTGCAGAATCAATTAAAAAAAAATACTTTTCAAATAACTTGTATTCGATCCAACGTTGATCAAAGGCATTGCGCTCCTTTGGTTGAACAATCATTATTACTATGGCACTGTAGCCAAATCAGATAACAAATAATAAATATGAAGCTATTTATAAACAATATTTTTCTATGTAAATATATTTGACCGGTTAACCTCACTTTTGCGATCCGTATAGTTCATGTGCTTTCGCAATACCTTTTGCCAATCTATCCAAGGCTTCATTTTGCGGTAATGATTCTTCTTTAATGATGGGTGATGAATCAAAGTAATTGGTAGCCTTCAGCAGGTACCTAATCACAAAAATAATATAATTATAAATTTTCAAACATCCAAGCTTTCACCATAAATCAATCAAATACCTATGCATATCTGTGGCCAAACTAGATAAAGATGAGAAAGAACTAGCTATAGTATTGTACTCCACTTGCAAGATTTTCGGTTCATTAGCGCCAGGAGGAAGATGTAAAAGATAATCGGATCTACTTATAGCTAAAGAAATTGGCTATCACTCTTGTCAAAAATTTTTACGTCCAAAATGCGATCTTTAGGATTTTTTGAAGTAGATTATTACTTGCGATATCCCTTCCTTCTTCACAATCAAATATATATTGTAAAGCTTTCTAATAAAGTCGTCTCCCTTGGATAATCTGTTTCGCCAAAAATCTACGATTATTTTATGGAATCAAGATAAAATCACGCAATTCCATGAAAATCCTCACTCATTCATAATCTCTTTTATAAAATCCTCATCTTTGCTTAATCTATGAAAAAGAAGGTTAAATAAAGGTTGTAGCAGTAAACCATGTTCAAAGGCCTTTTTTGGAAACGGGGAAGGGAATAAAGCTAGTGGCGCATGAATTACAGAAGAATTATTTGCTAAGGCAATGTCTGCAGGTGGACGAATGATTGCGCCATGTGAAAGAGCCCAGTCAATAGACAGTTCTTTTAATTGCTTTAGGTTCGCTTCGGAAACTTGTGATAGATATGAAGAGAACAAAGCGTTAGACATATCGTAGATATCTCGCTCACAATGATCAGGATTAATGTGGGAAAAATCAATGTTGTTCTAATTTATACATCTAATTTATGCTAAGACGTGTCATTTATTACGTGACAAGAAGATCAATTAACCCATGATCCATGAGAAAATTCAAAAAAAATATCTAATTGGCTGATTTATTCTAAAACAACAAAATGTCGAGAGCTTCACAACCAGAATTGAAAAGGCGAGAGGATTAGATGCGCATTTTTATTTCTTTTATTGGAAACTAACTTTAATTATGATGTGAAATACAGATACATGGAAAAACATTTGTCCATTCAATTAAACGGTGGACGAAAAGTCAATGGTATTCTACGTGGTTTTGACCCATTTATGAATCTAGTGCTTGACGAAACGGTGGAAGAGATTTCGCCTACCGAAAAACATAATATTGGGATGGTGGTATGTGATTTTGTTTATTATTTAGAAATCGGGTGATCCGGAGATAGTACTAAGAAATTTATATTATATTTTGACTTTTAAGGTAATTCGAGGAAATTCAGTGGTAATAATGGAAGCTCTTGAAAAGGTTTAAAGAACACTCGTGGCCCATCTACCATCTATAATAAATTTGTAACTCGGCACGTTATTTATAAATATTATTGTTTGATGGTTTTGAATCAGAAATTATTATTTAATTTTTAACTAATTATTACAGAGACGAACGCACTTTTCTTTATAATGTGTTCTCATATTTTCTCTAAATTAGACCGAGTCAATATATTTTAATATAAAACAAAACCTTCTATTGATCCACGTGAATAGAATAAATATTAACAATTATACAAGATAACATAACAAAAATTATAACAATCTAATAAAATCAACTACAAATCCGGATACTTGAATTTGAAATAATCCTGATCGAAATGGTGTACACGCACATACCCATCCTCACCACCAGATGAAAAACTCTGGCCGCTCGGATGCACGGAAATAGTATTGATTGGCCCGAAATGACCTTTTACCCGACCAACTTCCTCCTCTAAAATCTTGTGCCAGAACCGACACTCGAATTTACCCTGACGTGCGCCTGTGGTTGTGACATGCATTGCTTCTTGACCGCCACCCAATATCACGAATTCTTGCACTGGAGTGATCGAGGCCGAATTTAATGGTGCATCAGTAACGTACTTTTTTAGTGGGCTTAATGTATTTGATTCGAAGATTTGGGCGGATTTGTCTTTTGAAGAGGTGATAAAGTAGGTTCTGTCTTCGGACATTTGGAGATCTGTGATTTCAGCCGTGTGTGGTTGGATGGATTGGATCAAGTTTCCGGTCTATAGCAAGTATAATAAAATGTAAAATTACGTGGATTATTGCATTGTTAGTATGTAGTATAAAAAAAAAGATTTATTCACCTTCCAGTCATACTGAGAAATAGTCCCATTTTCATGTCCAGTGATAATATACTTATTCAGATAACCCCAATCGGCGACCATTGCCTTTGATCCTTCCGGATGAATTGTTGTAATTGGTTCATCTGATTCTATTTTTCATCATCGTTATTATTAGAACTGACGTGTCATTTTTTTTCTAGGATATTAATCATAGCATACATACGTTTAGCATCAATATCTTGATTAAGCGACAAGATAACCACCGATCCGGGATATCCCATTCTCTGTTCAGTCACTGCCAGTATCATCGAGTCATCTTCCGAGAAAGCAACTCGTTTAACAGCAGTTTTGAATTCCCACGTATGAAGGCATTTTCCTGTTCGTACTTCCCATAGTTTGGCACTATTATCTGCTGATCCCGTTATCAACAGTGTACTTGTAGCTGAGATTTTCAAAATTGGCACAGAGAAAATCATAATCAGGGAAAAATTCAAAATAAATTGAAAAATCAAGAACACGCATTTTTTTTACGTACAATTAACAGCTACCGACCAAATAGCACCAACATGTCCATTATATGTGCCAAGTCGTTCACCATTGTGCGAGTACCATACATTCACTACATGATCTTTGGATACTGAAAATAAAAGATCGCCTTCTGCGTTATATTTGATTTGTGTGAGAGAACGTGTGTGTCCCTGTAGTAAAATTGGTCGCTAAATGACCCGAAATATTGGGTGAATTCACGTTAAATATGGATGAATATTTACTAAACTTTAAAGAAATAGAGTATTTAGAACGTACCATGTTTTGATTTCAAATAGCAACAGCTTAAAAAATTAGTTTGGTAAAAATTAGTTCGGGGGGTTTTTTTTGTCGATCACAAAATTTTTATTTATCGTTATCTATTTAGGCATGGATAATCTACAATATGTAATATAATGTCTACCACGAAATTCGATGTTGTCGAGCATTCGCACCGACGTTTCAACCCACTATTAAACTCGTGGGTACTTTGTTCTCCACATCGCACAAAGAGGCCTTGGCAAGGCCAGGTGGAAGCGGAAGCACATGATTTTTTACCGGAATTCGAACCTAGCTGTTATTTATGTCCTGGTAATGCTCGTGCGCAAGGTGGTGTAAATCCAAACTACGAAAATACATTTATTTTTGATAATGATTTTGCGGCGGTTCGTAAGGAACAACCTGAATTCTCTAATTCTTCCATTCGAGGTATTTGTTTGTTAATTTTTTCTGGGAGCTCCATCATTTATCTAATTATTGGTTTTATAAAAGTTTAAAATGGGGTTTATTTTTATTTTTTACTTTCAGAAAAGTTCTCTTCGTTGTTACGACTAGAAAGTGTTCGAGGAGAATGCAAAGTGATTTGTTATTCACCAAAACATAACATTACCATGGCAGAAATGACCGAATCTTCAATTCTTGAAATCATTAAACTTTGGATTTTAACTTACCTTTCATTATCAATACATGATCACATTTCCTATATACAAATATTCGAGAACAAGGGTTCAATAATGGGATGTTCGAATCCCCATCCACATGGTCAGATTTGGTGCACTTCAGTGATTCCCGAAGAACCTAGTAAAGAAATTTCGTCAATGAGTTCATATCATGATTCTCATGGATCTTGTCTGTTATGTGATTATGTTTCGCTAGAAACGACAGTGTCGAATAATATTACGAATGTTAATCCTATTAGTGCTGAAAGTAATGCAAAATCGAATAATGAAAATAACTCGAGACTAGTATGTGAAAACAACTCGTTTGTCTGTCTAATACCATTCTGGGCAATCTGGCCTTTTGAAACGATTATTATTTCCAAACAGCATGTAACCAAGATCACGGATCTGAATGAACAACAACAATCAGATTTCGCGAATATCATGAGACGAATTACATGTAGATATGACAACCTATTCAAGTGTTCGTTTCCATACTCGATGGGTATACATCAAGCACCAGTTGATAGCGCAGTACATGATCTTGATTCGCATTTACATGTGCATTTTTATCCACCGCTATTGCGTAGTCCGACTATCAAAAAATTTATGGTTGGGTAAAGTATCGAATATTAGCAATTTTGATATGCCATCTTTTATTTTATCGCTTATTTCTGATTTTGATGATATCAGATACGAATTATTAGCCGAACCGCAACGTGATCTCACTCCTGAACAAGCTGCCACGAGATTACGTGCGTGCTCTGAAATACATTATAAATTAACGTGCTAGTGTAATCGTGATGTCAGATTGCAGTAACTTGAAGTGGTTAGCCAAAATCGGTTATGAAAGCATCAATATGCTAAAGTAGGTTAGATAAAACTCTAAAAAAAAATGTTGTTGCACACTACTAATACAAGTATAGTTAACATGGATGAAATCATCAGTGTCACAGATATTAATCATCATTTACCGTTACATTTATTTATGTGAAAAATATTATGTGTTACAAGGGGAGAAAGAATATCACATTAATTGAAAATAAAAAATGGAAGGAAAAAATGTTAATTTTCTTAATATCTCAATTTTTTTTTATTCCCGCTCTCGCTCTCTAAACTAAAATATCCTCCGATGCAATTAATTAGTTAGTTATAACGAAAGTCAAGAAAAAAGGCAGGAATTTCTAAACTTCTTGATTATTAATAATTAGTTAAAAAAGAAGAAATGATTCCTTATTATTAAAGAAGAAATGAAAAATAATTAAATGAAAAAATGGATTATAATGAAAATCACAAACAATAATAATAATAATCATCATCATCATCATCATCATAATTATTATTATTATTATTTCTTTCGCGAAGAAAATGTCATGAACGCGAAAGATACCAAAAACTCGAAGAACAAAATGCCGGTTATTATTATTATTATTATAATATAATCCTAATCAATATAATAATAATGATTAATGGTCAATATGAAGAAGGTGTGATATGATGGTAGTGGTGGATGTAGTAAGTAATAAAGAGGGATAATAAATTTAATATATTTCA